CGCCCCGAAGTGCATGTGTGCCAAGTTTGGCCTAAATCGGTTCAGAAATAAAAACTTCTATTCCGCACATACGTACACACAGACAGACAGACATACAGACATACTTTCAGCTTTACATATTAGGTTGTCCCAAAAGTAAACCCCATTCTCAAATAAATTGAGCTTTTCTTGTTCTCTTAACAGACTTGAGGTACCGTTCGATAGAAAGGAGCAAGCTCTACAAAAAGACCACCAAAGATCCCACCAAGTCGCAATTAAAATTTGAGGCCAAAAATCATTTTTCAGCTACCCTAAAAATCGGATCTCCTTCCAGAAGATTCCTACGGACTTTCAACTCTTCATATAGTAGACACATAGTAGTACCCAGAAATGTATTTGGTGCAATTTTTCCGGGGATCAAAATTGAGAAAAAAGATGGTCCAAAAATGCCAAAATGCCACCTTTTTCGGGTTTTTTGATGTAAAACTTGGTATTTATTGAAATAAGAGCACATACAGGGGTAGGGTTTTGAAATTGTACTTATAAGGCTTGTAGTATACAATGACATATGTGGGAGGGGCTGGGAGCGGAGTTTGTCATTTTCGGACTATTTTTGTTTCTCGCTTTCTAAGCTAGGAAAAAATTCGGTAAAGACATATTTGAGTACTACTATATGCCTACTGTATAATGACCAAGTTGGAGGTCTGTAGGATTTTTTATCGCAGAAATCCACTTTTCAGGTGACAAAATTTTTTTTCGATTTTGGCTTCATACTCTACATGGAATGCGACTTAGACGGACCTTTGGTGGTCGTTTTGTAGAGCTTGATCTGCTCTATCGAATAATACACCTAAGTTTACTGGGAAAACAAAAACAGCTTGAATTATTTAAAAAAGAAGTTTTCCTTTGGGACAACCTAAGATGTTCTGCCGCATGAAGCCCTTGTCCTTCCCCTAAGACTCAAATTTTTCTTGCTTCTTTTGCTTTTAGGAGTAGAAGTACGATTTTCGCGAACTAGAAGCGGCCAAAAGTGGATATTAAGCGAGCTTTTGCATATTTTAGCATCGAAAACAAGAAATTCTCAGCAGAAATGTTTGCCGCTTGAAGCACTTGAAACTTTCTTCTCTTTGAGACCAAGCCCCCTTTACTTTTTGCTGATGGGGCAGAAATATAACTTCGTGAAGTAGAAACGGCCAGTGGATTTCAAGCGATTTTTTGATAGTTAGCATTGATCTTGTCGCATAAGCCCTTGGGATCTTCCTTCTCTCGAGATCAAGCTCACTTTGCTTCTTTGTTATACGAGAGAGAAAATATGCTTTCTGCAAAGTTAAAGCAACCAGAATTGGATTTCCCAGCTTTTGTACAATTCAGCATTGAACGGAGAAATTCTTAGTAGAAATGCACCGCCGCATGGAGCTCTTGGGCATTCCTTCCCTTAAGACCAATCTCCCATTGCTTCTTTGTTTATAGGAGGCAGAGATATGATTTCTGCGACATTAGGTTGTAAAGAAAGTTTCCGGGCACTTTTGGAAATTTTATTTTCTGTTGCATTTTTTTGCCGCTCGGTAGGACTGTGATATCAAGTTTTGTATATTGTTCAGTAGAAAAAACCCTAATCTTTTCGAAGCCGCTTCTGATTTTCACCGATGCCAAAACCTGTTTGATCTGCACATCAAAAAAAAAAAAGAAATCTTTCTAATCATCAAAACTTCACAATTTTTCTTCCTAGCGATTTTTTTGTGCAGTTTATAAGTTTTCGTCTAAATCGTATCTGACCCAATCGAGGAGACTATCAACTTCTGACCCACTCGAGTTTTGCGATCTGCGCTCAGAAATTACAAGCTGTCAAACTTGCCTCTGACTGCAACTATTTTCGCAGCTGACGTCGCTTCTGCGAGGGTCGCCACGCCTGGATGATGGGTCCAAAAGATGTATAAGGCATTGCCAACAACGTTCGCAGTAATCAAAAATTTGGTTCGTCCTTTGCAGAACGAGAAGACTTTGAAGTCACTTACTCGAAACATGGTGCATTTTTGGGAGCAAAAAATGGTCGAATTTTTGAACTTTCTTCGAAAACTTCTTTTGTAAATAGTCGCTCGAGGCGTAAATAGTCTCTATGACAGCCCCAGCAGATTTCTATATAACTACAGCATATGAGCTGTCCAGCTCTCATCATGTCTGAGATAATCATGCGCAACTCACTTTTCGCGTCGCCTTTTTCCCTTCATGCTGGTTGACCGCAGTGAGGTGCTAAAAAGCCAGCAATAGCTATATGTTGTAGGCAAAATTCTCTTTGCAACGAAGTTTGTAACTTTTAGAAAGAATTAATCTGCTTGAAGTTACAGCGATTTGAAAATAAGTTTTCGCAAGTATCCGGAAACTTTCTTTACGACCAAATAAAAGCGGTTGAGGGTGGATTTCAAGCGAGCTTCTTTATAGTTTAGTATTGAAACTGCGAAATTCTTAGCAGAAATGCCCTGCCACATAGAGCTCTTGGGACCTTTCACCCTTCGAGACCAAGCTCCCTTTGCTTCTTTGTTGTAGGAGACAGAGATATGATTTCTGCGAAGTAGAAGCGGCCAAAAGTGGATTTCAAGAGAGCTTTTGTATAGTTTAGTATTGGAATTGTGAAATCTAGCAGAAATGCAGTGCCGCATGAGCTCTTAGAGCTTTCCTTCCTTCGAGACCAAACTCCCTTTGCTTTTTTTTGCTTTTCAAAGCAGAAGTACGATTTTTGCAAAATAGAAGGCCAGTGGATTTCATGAAATTTTTGTGAGATTCAGCGCTGAAACCTACAGAATTATATCAAAAATGATCTGCGGCATGAACTCATTGAGTCTTTTCTTCCTCTGAGACAAGCTCCCTCTGGTGAGTTGTTTTTATTGGCAAAAGCATGATTATCACAAATAGAAATTTCCAAAAACAAATGTTCAGCAAGTTTCCGTGAATTTTGACATCAAAATCTAGTGGTAAAAATGTGTTCCCGTGTGAATTTGTTGGGTCTTTCCTTCGTGCAGACCGAGTTCCCTCTGCTCATTCACATCTAGCGGCAAAAACAATATTTTCACAATGTAGAAGCACCCACACCCAAAAGTAAGTTTTTAGCAGGGGTGTCTCGGTTTTGTGAAATTCAGTACATAATCCTAGAAATCTAACAAAATGTACTACCGCATGAATTGGTTTCTTTTCTTCCAGCAAAACGTGGCTCGTTCTGTTTTTTTTTTGTTTCCAAAAGCAAAAGCAATATTTTCAAAAAGTAAAAGCACCAAAAGTGAGCTTTCAGCGAATACTCGTTGAGATAATAGATTATATTATATTTTCCTAACCTTCATATTGCTCTAAAATCATAACGTTCTTCTTGAAAACTAATTCTAATTGCAAGAATTAGGCAGGATAGGGAGCAAAATGAGGCGGCACTTCCCAAATTATTATAGCAGGTGGGCCAGATATTTGCACTAACTTGGTAGTCTGGAATCAATATTTCGCGGTTGTTTGAGCCCTGCACATGACACGCACTTGATCCCTTCTTTGCTAGTTTGTGACTGAGGAGGTAATCTTTGACGATTGTTGCCGACATTACCCATATTTGCACTTTCCATGCAGAGCAAGCTCTATAATTTGCACTTAAGGTGCATACAGTCTGGAAATTTACTACGAACACGCAACAGTCTAGGTCGCTGTTATGCAAATCGGGTGGCGGACTTTATGAACGATAGCGCGCGCTTAAGCAGGCGTGTGTCACTAAGGTGCGCACCGTTAGCCCCGCCTATCGCAACATGGACGAGTTCTTTGCAGTATAGCTCTGGCACTGGTTCATGGCCATGTTCCCTAGTCAAGTGAAAAAAACTTCTGATGGTGTGAGCTATAAGCTTGTTGCAAGCTGGGATGAAGCTTGACTATTTACAGTATTTTGTTTTGCCTTTTTTTCTTTTTTTTGCCAGTCATGAGCAACTAATGTGTTGATCGTGAAATCCAAGAGATTTGCTGATTTACCTATAAATGACCGAGTAACTCCTGGATATCCAACTTTGAAGTGTGAAATCAATCTAGAACACCTCAGGCATGATTGTCTGAGTGACCTCACATCTTACGACTAGTTCACACGCAATTTCGATTGAGTTACAGATCAATTTTTACTGAGGGTAGCAAATATATTATTCTCATATTTCTCAATAAGCTGAATTCTTTTCAAACTAAACTTAGGAGTGCACAAAAAAGAATGTTTAATACAGTAAGAGATGTGAATAAAGAAAACGCTTTTCCGAGCATGAAAGAATTTCCTCATACTTACAATGAAAAATCAATTTGGACAAATCCACTAGGAACAAATAACTCAAATACATTGAAAAGAGCTTGCGAACTAATTAATGATGAAAAAAAATCTGAAAACTTTTCAGTTTGGTTAAAAATTTTGAATTCTACTGTTACTGTTAAATTGCAACCAACTGAAGAAGCATGAGCGAAATATTAGAGAGTTTTTCAATGGCTGCAACGTATTCCTAGGCCAATTAACGAGGGGGCGGCGCGATCAGCGCACCGCGTACGGTACCCAGCTGGCGGCTGGCATATGCTATCGTTCATAAAGTCATACACCCATGCAAATCATATGGAATCCTTCTTGAACGCATGCGCGCAACATTACTCTCCCGGCGAGGCGGAGCGTTTCTCTGCACATCCTTGTTAATTCATGTATGGCAGTTATATTTCTATGGCGCATGATCTGAACTCCCCTCGTTATCGAGAATGCCCTATTAACATTGTAAGAGAACACGTAGCACAACAGTAAAGCATATGGGGGAGAAGAGTACTCCCGCGTATCGCGTTGAAAGATTCCAAAGATATCTAGTAAGGTGTTTCATATGTAAAACGGCATCTCGACCTTGTAACCCTCCACTGTAACACTGTTCTTCCTCAACGAAATAATCGTCAAAGCGGCCTCAGCCTCAAGGATCAAAATTTTTAGTGAATACAGAACATTTGCGATTGTTAAAATCTAATTCAAGCTGCAAACGAATACTTACCTGTACTACTGCAATGACCACCATGGCAACAAGGTCGCAACCAAGAATACCGTAAAACCTGGAAAAAAGAAGGTTCCTATAAAACAATCATTGGCAGTTTGCCGATGTTCTCTTGACAGATGATATTATTTCAGAAAAAAAGATTGTTGTCTTACTATTAGGTTGTCCGGAAATTAATGTCTGTTTTGAATTTCAACCGCAACAAGTCATACACTTTCATTCCTGAATAGCTTTTAAGGTACCATTCGATAGAGCAAAGCAAGCTCTACAAGATGGTTATCTTGCTTTAACAACAGCTCTGATTCACCTCGAGTTTCGAACCAAAAACTAAAAAGATTCAATTACCCGAAAAATCGAGAAAAGTTATAACTCATTTCGTAAGAATTCCACAAAAATTCTAACTTGCTCACGCAAACACTATCCACATAAGACATATATGTACGCTATTGCCGTATTCTTTCCTCCGTTAGAAATCGAAAAAACGAAAATGTTCATGCCTATGCCAAAGTGATGCTGTGTCGTCCCCACATAAGTAAATGTGTACTACAAATCTGAAGAAGTACAAACGTAAATTTTCAGCTCTCTACAAGCTTTAGTTCTCGAGAAATATCGAATATAGCTTTCATTAGTCAGGTGGTCCAAACTAAAATTCAAATTTCTCGAGAACTAAAGCTTGTAAAAAGCTGAAAATCTACGTTTTTACATCTACAAGTTTGTGGTTTACATTTACTTATGTGGGGACGACACAGCATCACTTTGGCATAGGCATGAACATTTTCGTTTTTTCGATTTCTAACGGAGGAAAGAATACGGCAACGGCGTACATATATGCCTTATTTGGATAGTGTTTGCGTAAGCAAGTTAGAATTTTTGGGGAATTCTTACGAACTGAATTATGATTTTTCTTGATTTTTCGGGCAGTTGAATGTTTTCAGTTTTTGGCTCGAAACTTGAGGTGGATCAGGGCTGTTACTAAAGCAAGACTGCCATCTTGTAGAGCTTGCTTTGCTCTATCGAACATATCTTAAAAGCTATTTAGAAATGAAAAGTGTATGACTTGTTGCGGTTGAAATTCAAAACGGACATTAATTTCCGGAAAATCTAATAAATGTATATAAAGTCATAAGAATTGTCATAAGAACCTATTAGGTTGCACCAGAAGTGAAATCCTTTTCTGAATGAAACAAGGTATTTTTGTTTTTATAAGTTAGGGTTTCATTTGATGGAGCGAAGCGAGTTAAGACGGCCACTGAAAATCCGACTGGGTAATAACCAGGTAAAGGTAGAGCAAAAATAAAAAGAATTTTCCACTTGAAAATTGGACATTTGCGAAGAAAAACCCCACGGGCTTCCAGCTTGGTACATAATTATGCCTTTACTGAATTTTTTTTTCGCGCATAGACGAGAAAGATAGTCCAAAAATGGCAAAATTCACCCTCGCCCCCCACAAATATATCATTGTATACTGCAAGCCCCAGTAATCCTGGTATGATTGCGAAATTCTCGTCTTATGTGCTTTGGTAATAGAGAAACAATAGGTTGATGCAAAAGTAATGGCCGATTTTCCAAGCCTTTCTTCAGGCCAACTTTTTTCCATCAGAATGTCTTCTTTGAAGTACGCATAGCATACCACTGAGAAGCTGTATTCATGCTCCATCTAACGGTGGTCGAAACGGGCTTTTCTCATCTCTTACAAAGTAACTGAGCATCAAACAACCGCATCCAAATTCAGAGTTCATTGCATTCACTTTTGTGGCCGAAACTCAAAAACGGATGAACGGTGCCTTTTCGGAAATTTTGCTGTTGTATGTAATGGAAATTGTCCACATTATGCGAAAACTTGACTGTATTTTCTGAAGTTGTCCAGACTGAGATGTAGGCGCCTCAATATGAGTAGCCGTTGCGGTACCTTATAACCCATAAGTTTATTTTAAAGAAGTCTATCGCTGAGCTTTGCTCAATTCTGTAAGCGTAATGTTAGTGCATCCTAATAACTGTTTTTGCAAAAGCACTCACTGTTCAGTACGCAGAAAATCGGAAGATTCTATATTTGGGGTTTGAGGCACACTGGAAAAATGTTGAAAAAACTGACAATTTCGTATTGTAATTTTTTTCTTTTTCGCAAATTCTTTTTCTCCAAACCTTTTTCATCGTATTTTGTACTACTGGCGAACGGTATAAGATACACCTTTCATTCATATTAGTGAATTTTGAAGGAAGTTCTGAATTGTCAAAAACAAAGTTTTAGAAAAAAATCTTTTTCTACCTTTTAGTCCATATTTTTCTTGCCGTTTATGATATGATAAATGAGTGCGCACTATATTACGAAAGGTTTGCTGCTTCTGATGGTTTTTACCGCATTCAGAAATGTGGATGGTTTAGAAAGTTATAGCTCGTCAAAGTGAGAACTCGCAAAACGGCCATTATTTTTGCATCAACCTAATACAAAGTCCAAAGTAAAAAAAAACCGAAAACGATTTTTTGATTTCTCAATTTTAGGTCTAGGAAAAATTCACCAAACATAATTCATTTTTGAACACTTGTATGTACCTACTACATAGCGTCCAAATTAAGGGAAGAAACCGTAAAATTTTTTGCAAGGAGATCCGATTCTTAGAGTAGAATACTTGATTTTTGGCTCCAAGTGTTACCTGGACTACGACTTAGGCGGATCTTTGGTGGTCATTTTGTAGAACTTAATTCACTCTATCAAGATACCCTGAGTCGGCTAGGAAACCAAAAAAAGCCTGATCAAATAAGAAGGATTTTACTTACAAGACAACCTGATAATCCAGGTGGGTTTTCATGTTCTATGGGCACCTATTGCTCCTCAAAGACAAACTTCTAGTCTTAATGGGTAGGTCACGTCCAGTCTATGACCAGATAGTGATTATGTGAACGCGATAGCCTCTACACCTGCAGTGGACTTAATAAGGTATTATACCGTGATTTACGCGTAAAGGTCCACCCACCTGTCCCAATTAGTAACCAAGGGATCATCAACATAATTCAAGGGTTCAAAAACCTGCTTAGGATTGGTGTCACAACAATGAGCATATTCAAGGGTGTTACAAAAATAAGGACGCTTCCCATGCTACTGCTAAATTGGTAAAATCGCTACGGGTAGTTTCCGATAGAGAAAACATACACTATAAGATTTTCATTGGAATCACATAAATCGCCATTGAAGTCAAGTATGAAGCCAAAAATTACATTTGAACAATAAATTGGATCCAGCCGTGAAAATTAGAAATTTCTCAATCATCTTACAAATATAGTTTAGAAGGCTTCTGAGGTTAAATATGTACTCTTATTTTTTTCATACCGAAAATTGAGGAAAAAAAAGGAAGACCAAAACTGGGCAAACTAGACACCTGGTCCCTCCCACCTATATGTAATCTCGCTTTCTTTAACAAGCGCCACACTTTGCCGAACACAGATTGACGGAAGATATTGTCAGCAATTCATGCAGCTTTCATGTTGTTCTGTGATTATACTTTTGTCGCAATTTGACCTACGAGCTCGCAAAAAATAACCAAAGATGCGGTCCATGGTTTTTTCTAGTGTCAAGTTTCGCTATTTTTCAAATTTGTTCAACACCACGAAGACGTCCAAGTAATGTTTTGATAGGCAAACCTTACAGGATATGTAACGGATTTTTTCTTCTACCCTTCGCCGCAACCTTTTTGGCAGAATTTTTTCTGACACCGCCGTATTTTAGCAGGCTTACCTTGAAAATAAACGCATCAAACATTAATAAACTTTTTGAATCGGACCCACGAAAATGGATTATTTGTGAACACTAATTCTATAAAGCAGAGCGTTCACAGATTGGAAATTCCAAATCTTGTGTCTTCCGGTTACAGCTTGGGGCGCGTTTAAAAACAATTATGGTGGCTTTGTTTTTGAAAACTTTTCATAAAAGCAACGTCTAGAAAGAGGAAATAATCTGTATTAAACGATATCCGAGTTGCCTCCCTGGTTGATGTTTTACAGGTTTGGTTGACCAATAATTGAATTTGATAGCATCAAAGAAACGACTGAAAATTCTCGAAAGGCAAACCATGGAACCAAGAAGAAAGATTTCGTCGTTTCCTATGGAATTCACTCTAATTCGTTATTCGGACTACTTCTGGGGTCGGTATCAGAATTTATGAAAATCTCGGAACTTATGTTAGCCATTGCTGAAACTAAGAGTCGCAGTTCTTGTTAATTTTTTAGAGCTCCTTGAATGAACTGCAAAAGAAATATAACCACTTGCCGTTGATCAGATATCTTCTGAAAATCTTTGTTCTGCTGAACGTGGAGACTACTCAAAAAGGGCGAAATTTACTTTCGAGAGTGCTAAGTTCATATGCTATGAGCATTCGAGAGTGTGAGAATGAACGCTTTTGTAGCTCTGGTTTCCAAGAATCGATTTTACGTTCAGATCCAAAAAAACGACAACTTTTGACTTGTGCGAGTAATCGCGATTCTAATTGTTATTCCAACAAGAAGGGTGAGGTCTATATGAAGTAATAAAACGCATAAATACGAGCGGAAAAACCATGCAAATTATCTTAATCACTGCAAATCCCGATAAGATTATGTACAGTGCAACTCCTAACTCGGGTGGAAAAGACGGTTTGTGGAGTTTTGTCGGAACTCCGTAACTTGGTTCAAAACGATATTTACGAGATCGGATGGTGGTTTTTTGCAAGCCAGTGATATAAGAATTTGGAAAACCATCAAACGTTCCAAATTGAATTTTATTGGAAGAATTTTTATTAAACCGCGCCACAAAATCGCAATGAGACGGCCACACCTCATGATTTCTACTCAAATAGATTCTTCTCATTTTTTACCAATATTTAATAAGTCGTTGTCGCTCAGAAAATTTAATTAAGAATCTAAAAAACAATTTTTCAAACCTGCAACGGTTCAATCGCGACCTTTTCGTCGTGGCAATACAACGAAACCATTCCAATGAAACGAAATTCAGTAAATTTGGTGTTGTCGAATCTTGTAGTGACTTCCAAAAATCATCGTCCGATCTCATGAAAATCATTCTGAACGTAGTTATGGGATCCGACAATTCTCTCAAGATTGATACATCGCAACCCTTCTTCTCCACCCGGGAATGCAATGTATTTGTATCTAATTATTAACTTGGGTGTTCTCAATGTCTTATTAGTGCTGTTGCAGCCATGAAATCGAATAAAATACACATTAAATTTCGAGAAAATATTCGCAAAAAACAACATTTGCCAGAACATTCAGTGCTGGTTCTAATTTGAGAGATATCAGAATCTGAATTGCGCTCGAGAATGGCGCAATTTCCGCCATTAGCTTCTGCTGGCAGTATTCGAAACGCGCTACAATTTCGTATTGAATGCGAGATCTATGTAATTACGTCACAATCATTGTATACTAGAAAAAAGCTAAAGATGCTTTATACCTTTCCGACAACGCAAAAATAGTGAATTTCCAATCTAACATCAACCTCGGTGTAGTAGGTTCTCCATCGCTTTTTGAGCAGCTTTAATCTTCCTTTCCTTCTTTTGTTTTTTCCCCACTGTTCATTGATAAATTAATTTTTATTAGACAATAGATGCCGTCAAGTGACAGTCTCAGGCTAACAGTTCTATAAGTATCAAAACCACTGATTAAGCCAATCGTCGATCCAAAAATAAGCAAGTGGCTAGTTATCCCGAGAAAATTTAGTTGTTCAGATAGAATCATAACTATCTGGAAGCGGTCAGTTCGCCTTTATGTGACAGTCTAAGCATCTTTTCTACGATTTTTAAATTTTGAGGTGTTGCTAAGTTCTTTCAACGAAAAAATTTGTGCTTTTTGGTGACGTTTTTTCGTTCAGAACTTCTTTTAGCATCTCTTGAGCCGAAAACGGCAAAAGAAATTTTTTGAAATGGTGCAATAATACATCAAACTTGAAAAACGGCTCCTGGTACTTTGCTGCTGGAGTAATTCAACAGCTTGGGCTGCGTCGAAGCTGTTGTACGTCCAGAATCCAACGTTTAGAGTTGCCCATGTGCCAGCGTAGTTCCAGCAACGGTCAACTCTAAACACAACCATCGTAGGTAGTCGATGCTCACCTTTAACACTGTTCATCGGCTCCTCTTCAATGATGGGAGGTGGCGTTGTTGTGGTAGAAGTGGTGGTGACGAGTTCGGTGCAGTTACGATGGATGCAGACAGCGTCGGCGCCACCTTGCTAAAAGCAAATTTCACAGTGTTTTAGCAAGGTTTGTGCCTCGATATACAGTGCCCAAAACTATGTATACACTGTTTGATCATTGATATCTCTTCTTGGGAAGAGATATCAATGATCAAACAGTGTATACATACTTTTTCTTCACCTTACCTAATTTCAGGGGATATTTAGCAAAGCTGGCTCCAACTTAAAACAGTATTGAGCGAATTATCGATTGCTCTTTATTACTGTAGAACTACGGTAAAAATTTAAGACTTTTCGCGCCACTGTGCTACTTTAGCTGAATTTTAGGAATGAATTCAAAAGAAATTCAAAAAATTGTGTATCAGAATTTTCACGCATGCTGACTTCACTGCCTAACTTTTTGCAATTCTATAAAGCTTTTTGAATGGATTTATCCTAGGTTTGAAGGGCATAGAAAAACCAGGTGTCATATTATGATTGCCGTAACCCGAAGACTAACTTTCATGGTAATGTGCTAATCTCGAATTTAGATTCAGCAACTCTAACTAGAGTAGGTGTTTTCAAGGTCTTCCGTTCTTGTTCTAACGTGAAATATGGCTTCCAATAGCCCGAAACCCTCTTCAAAGTCCCTACCGTGATCCAGTGGCGTACCGAGCCCCCGCCCCCCGAGAATGGCTCGCGAAATTCTTTAAAGTTACTTATATGGGTTATAAAAATGTGCAAGCGACTTGTTTCTACTTGTAAATAATTAAAATAATTTTTAAAAATTTTTAAAAATTCAAATTAGCCTTGCAAAAAAAATCCCGCAAAAATCTTGAGAAGCACCCCAAAAATCTTTTCGGAGTGCGTGGCTAACGCCACGCACCTTCATCCGAAAATTTTTTTTGTCGCCTCCTTCCTTCCCCCCCCCCCCCTCCCCTCCCCTGGCCGAAATCCTGGGTACGCCACTGCCAAGAGCTTTTGGGAGAAGAGATGTTTACGGCCAAACAGTTCATACGTACTTCTGGAACAACCTGCATATGGAAGGCAGCACAAGAGGTGCCGCTTGTAGAGATTAATTTTCTCTGTTCAGCATTATCTTCTCGAACAATTACCAAGGATGCCTGGTGGACCTCAGAAATGGGAAGGTTGCTTCGACCATCCACCCAAAATGAGGGTGATGAAAATCTGATGCTATATAGTAGCAGGACTCTTAACTAAGCAATCCGCGTTTTGCTGCAAGAGATGAATTACGAAGCGAGAAAACCGCTCCAAAAAGTAGGAGCGGCCACGGTGGTTCGCCCATCAACTTGCAGGGCTCAGCAGAGGTAGCGCTTTCACACGCTGGATGTCGTTTTTGAGAGGGCAGCAAAAGGGAAATCGTATAACTCTAGCGGTGTTTGGATCTGGCATTTGGCAAGCACACCCAGAGTTCAGCACAGCTGGCACCGGATCAAGCTGGATATCGTTTTTGGGACAAAAAGCAAAGGGGATATCGTTCTGTGGCCGAAAAGGCTCGAAGATCGCGACGTTTTTTTAGTCGACGTTTCTTTTTTTTTGAGATTTTTACGTTTAGGGTTTAAGGTCAAAGGAGACTTCGTACGAAATTTCAAATACCAAAGGGACTTTGTTTTATAATTACCCTGGTGCCAGCTTGTGCGAGCCCTGCTTTTTAACCTGAACTCGAATTTTAGGCCTTAACGTCATTCCACCAGTACTAAGTAAATTAATACATTACAAACACGACTGGTGTATAAATTGGTTCGCACACGTTCCCAACAAATTGACATGATGTTCATACATAAAAAACTGTTTATTGAGACTAAGTAATATTGAACCATCCGATTTGGTGTATAGCTTCGTGACGATGATCAAAACAAAAGTATGGAAAATTATTTGAAGGAAAGAAGCTGTAAGTGTTTTTCTTATTTAGGTTGCTCCCGCGCAACCCCGGAGCACCTTGAGGTTGCGCCGGACCAAACAAAGTCATAGTTTAGCCCTCTAATTCTTCAAAAAAGTTTACAAAAATTTCAAGTTCTACCTATTAGACTCATTCTGACTCAAGTTTGGCCCCTCTTCTTTGCTATGGTCCTTATTAGAAGACCTCCTTTTTTCCGCCTTTGATGTTCTATCTCAAACTTTCTTTCTCAAATGCCACCTCGCATTAAGCATTGTCAACATGGGTGGTCTGAAGATTACAAGCCTTAAACTGGACTTTAGGGTAGAAAGAAAAATCGCAAATCTAATGATCATGGTGAAGAGCGGATTCATGACAGTTTTAGACGCATTAGAATTTTGGACCATCTTCAGACCACCCTCCCTGATGGGTGGAGCCAGCGTGGCTGCTGTCACTTTCTGGAGCGGTTTTCTCGAAGGCCTCGAGTACACCTCGCGCGATTTCAGTCGCGACGCGATTTGGCAATATTTCAAAGTTTATAACTCATCATGAATGCTCTAAATGTAACAAAGTAGGACATTATATCAGTTTACGAGAGTTGTACTGGCTATGCATTTGTAATCTGCCAGTGTTGGATTTAAGAAATCCGGCAAACTGCACGATCGCGTGGCGACTGAAATGACGTGAAATATGCCCGAGGCCCTAGCATCCATCTTTTGCAGGGGGATTTGGGCGATGGCTTCTTAGCGGGCCCTCTAATATATAATATCAAAATTCACCACCATCAGTTGTGTGGATGGTGAAGACAACACCCGAGTTTGCATGAAATTTCTGCAAAATAATAAAACGAATAACACTACACGAAATTGAGTCGAGACAGTCTGTTTGGAAAACCAAAAGTGAAAGACACATCAGTTGAGTGCATATGTACCTATTCTTGGTCAACACTCGTTTAAACTGCCCGAGTTCTGCCCTGTGAACCCTCTAACTTTTCGTCAAAAGATAATAGATATGAAGGCAGAATTGAAATCAGCCACTTATACCCTCCAAAACAGTACACGTTTTCATCTTGTAAAGACAGGATATCTGATTAATCATACTCTTTGTTAGGCCAAATTTAGAAACTTCGACAACAGGCTTCACTAAATGATACTTGCACGATCTTGAGGAGAAAACTGTGCTGTTTGTGCTGCGGAGAACACTGCAAAGGGTGTGACGACAAAACTGTCTTTTCCCACTTGTTTTCGCTCACAGTTCGAATATAAGAACTGCAAAGCTCGTTTAACTTGACTCACTTGGAGTGGAATACATCGCTGCTCGTTGGTCTGACATTTGTCGCCATTGTTCGGATCGAACTGCATGGAGCAGCACGTTGTGAAAGCCTGAAGAATGTTTCTCTGCAATGTTTGAAGGGGGAAGACAGAAGCTCTCACCTCGCAATATTGTTCTGTTGGAGCAAAAGATGCCATTGAATGGCAGCTTTCAAACCGATCTCGAATAGTAGGATCCCATCCATGAATTACCATGTCACTATAACTGAACATGTACGATATCTTGCTGATCATCGAAATTCCGCATGTTATCGCTTCCACCAACCTTTCACCGCTTTCGATTTGCCTTCTGTATCGGGCATCAACAACGCAGAAAACAATTATCGTAACGATGACTGTTGCTTGTGACATGATGATTTTTGGGTTCAGTTCAAACAGATATACCCTTCAGACAAAGACTAGTCGAACTCCTTGATTCTGCAGATAAGATTAGTGTATGATCAATTACATACGAGATTCTATATACATTAAAGGCAGCGGCTCGCCATGATGACAACTTTGAGACATTCATCGTTCTCGGTTTCCCTGGATAAGCTAAGTAACTGTGCTTTGCATCAAAAAATATAAATAATCCGCTTTTCCAGACGTGAAAAGTGCGACTTGAACAGACAGCTTATGCCTGCCCTCTGGAGCGCGATTGGCTCGTGAGTGAAGACACCGTACCCATCTCTGCGGCAATTGTATTACTGGCTTCAGCAGCCACTTTCGCGACCCGCCCGAACAGCATTTTTCACGTCCGGGGAAAGCGAATCATTGATATCTTCAAAAGCTGCAAAGCACAATTTCAGACTCAGCTCGTCAAGAGAGTTAAGAACGATGAATATCCCAAAGTTGCCATTCTGTCGTTCCGCTGCCTTCAATGTTCGGCACCGAGTACCCGAAGTGATGGTGATGAGAATTGTATGCTGTATAATAGCGGGGCCTCTAACGTGTAATCGCTCAACCGCTACAAAAGATGGACTCCGAAGCGAGAACCGCTTCAAGATGGAGAAGCGTCTCATTGACTAAGTTTAAAAACGGGGGGAGGGGGAGGTTAGGATAGATAGAATTGTCGAAGATTTAATAGTCATGAAAAAGGACGGATTTATAACTTTATATACACTAAAACCTGATTCTATGCTTTTTATCTTCAAATCACCTACGTTGAGGGGAAAGCCAGCGTGGGCGCTTCTACTCGAAGCAGTTTTCTCGCTTGGGGAGTCACTTTCTGCAGCGAGACTTGAGCGAGCTTATTGAGGGCTTTCTATTATATAGCATCAAAATCTCATCACTCTTAATCTGGTGTACAGTGACTTTCAAGTTCTTCGAAATTGTGGTAGGCGGACAAGAGAACATAAGGTAAACAACACGCGTAGTCTTCGTCAATTAAGTAGTTCTTTGCGTAAACCTTGACATCACAATACGAGAGCCCTGTGTGCGAACCCGCACTTGATGACAGCAAATCAAAGATGATCAACAGGGTCAAGCGTGGGGTGCGGCACGCCACACCTGGGGGGTCGTATTGAGTAGTCAAAAGGGGAGGGGGTCGTAGTTGGATAATCTGATAATAGTGGTAACATGGTATTCGTATCATATCCATAATTAGCATGTCAATTAACCCTTGTAGACAAAGTTTGAGCAAATTCTGAAGATTCAAGATACTAGGCTACCTAAATGAAATGGTCAAATTCCAACATGGTTAACTTTATTTCAAAGGTGAATTAGCTATCCGTTTTTGTACACATGACAAAGCACTACTCCCTCTTCGTCCACCTCAGGAATCCCGCTTCAGAAGACCTTCAAACTGTGGAATTAGAAGCCAACCAAAATCTCGTTTTTCCCATTTTTCGCTTTTGATCGCTGTGCTTTCACCGAATATTACTTAGAGCTAAGAAGACAGTCAGGCTCCAAATAGTCCTATGGAATCTACAAGGTTTAGGCTATCGATTCATATAAATATTGTCCGCTAAAAATGTTTTTTTTGATATAGTTAATGGGGCGCGGCACACCCCCTTAAAAGCTGCGGCTGCCGCAGCTTTTAAGGGGGTGTGCCGCGCCCCATTAACTTGCCTTCAAAATCCAGAAAGCGCTTCATTGTTGGTATGAGTATTGAGCACATAGCTTCTTCTTGCTACATTGGAAATTTGGAGCCGAACGTCATACCCATAAGAAAATTATGGCCCTTTCAATGTGCCCATTCAGACCAAAATCAGCCGTCAAATTACGTGCGATTGTAAAGTGCAGTCACAGAAAATCGGGCGTACAGCTCTCAGAAATCCGAAAACTCTCTAGAAAAAGATGGTGTCCCCCAGAATGTCACACTTTGAGGTCCAGAGGTTAAGAGAAGGAAGAAGGGGTCGTCTGAGGGCTTTAATGGGAGGGGGGGGGGGAGTTTCGAAAGACTTGTGCCTGACCTCTTTCTCAACTCTGGTAATGCTATCTTAGGTATACAGTTCAGGGGGGGGGTCTTATTAAGACAGCAATCAGGGGGAGGGGGGTCGTAACCAGCGGCTCCATGTCAGGAGTCACGCCGCGCGCCGCGCCGCTTCGCCGCGAACGTCGCGTCTATTTTGTACCCCACAGAACTGCCCGATGCTAAAGTGGCACGGCGCCAGTCTAGGGGGGGGGGGGTGGGGGTGGGGCAGATACATGGCTCGTGTCATAAGTAAGACTGCGCCAGGAGTGCTAGCTTCTGTTTTGCTGACATCGCTCGCGGCATCGCTTCGCGAAAAATTCGCGCCGACCGTGACTCCTGACCAAAGGTGCGATGGGGGAAGCCGGGCCCACCAAAAGTGAAGGTGGTCCCAGCTACCACTGGCCGGCCAAAAGTGAAGGTGGTAGTGCCGAGCACTCACCTCTCAAAAACGTCGACGGGGGGGGGCATTACCGTCTATCCTTCCAGGTCGTTGCCGCCAGTGCGCGGAAAATAGGCAAAACAAATGCAAAAGGGATTACTGCAAGCATATTTTTATGTATACAGCGTCATAAATATCTAAAAAAACGTGCTTATCAAATAATGTATTTGGAAGTAAAAGTTTCCTGGACTGTACGGATTTTATTAAGTAAATCTTGTCATAACATACTGCGAAGGAGGGTCGATCTAGGCAGTAACGGCCAAAAACCAGAATTTTGAATATTTAAATAGTGAAAAATCATGCGAAATTGTCACTGTTGTAAATCTGTTGTTTGAAGATGTCAGCAGTTGCGACTTCATAGATTTTGAAGAGTAAATGGTGCTCTATCAGATAGTGAAGGAGTCGAGTCGATTTGAGAGATAGTCGTTGAGAACCAGAATTTTGAAAATTTACGCCATTTTTACGTGTTTTTTGACAGCTGACAGTTAAACTCATATAAATCTTGAAGGTGAAAGTGTGTGATATTGCGACTTCATAGGTTTTATAGAGTAAGGCTTGCCTTATCAGGATATATCTTAGCCGTTCCGATTTATTGAAACACCTCCGAGATCCAGAGTCTTGAAAAAGCAGGTAAAAAAGCCCCCCACGGGCATAATTCGTAGGAGGTCTAAACTCCCACATATTATATATCATCTGAAAGCTCTTGAGGAGAAGAATCTAACCTATGAAGTCGCAACATGATTCATGCAGTTCTGAAGAAGTTATGAGCTGTTGAAATGCAAAGACCGCTTTTTTACCTGCTTTTTCAAGACTCTGAATCTCGGAGGTGTTTCAATAAATCGGAACGGCTAAGATATATCCTGATAAGGCAAACCTTACTCTATAAAACCTATAAAGTCGCAATATCACACATTCTCACATTCAGGATTTATATGAGTTTAACTGTCAACTGTCAAAAAACACGCAAAAATGGCGTAAATTTTTAGAATTTTGGTTTTAAACGACTATCTCTCAAATCGACTCAATTCCTTCAATATCTGATAGATCACCATTTACTCTTCAAAACCTATGGAGTCGCAACTGCTGAAATCTTCAAACAACAGATTCAACAGATTTACAACAGTGGAAATTTCGCATGATTTTTCACTATTTAAATATTCAAAATTCTGGTTCTCGGCCGTTACTGCCTGGATCGATCTATTTTCTTCGCAATGCGTTTTGACAAAATTTACTTAATAAAATCCTTACAGTCTCGCTGACTTTTACTTCCAAATACACCATTTATTGAACACGTTTATTTTAAATATATATGCCGCCGTATACATAAATATATGCTTTCTAATCTTTTTTGCGTTTGTTTTGCTTATTTTCCTTCTTTATCGTCCAGCGAAAAAATTTTTCCCAAAAGTGAAGGTGGTCACCCTGTACCAGCTCAAAAGTGAAGGTAAGGGGAGAATCTGCTCCCACTATCGCACCTCTGCTCCTGACCGTTCCCCGTAACTCCGACTTTCGTTGCGTACCAGCGGCGTTCGACTGTCCTCTGAGCGCAGCACGCAAACGCCGCTGGTACGCTGTGGAACTCCGCTGGCAGGAGAATGGTACGCCGCTGGTACGCCAAGAGGGTACGGACCGCATGTTCACCCGATTTTTGATTACGTACTAATTGCAGCATTAGTTGGTTTGCAAATTGCTATATCGTCATATTTTATGAAGCCGAAATCAGCGCAAAATTTCCTGCTATTTCGATGGATGGACTTCATTGAATCGAAATCGGGGGATTGTGGGCCACCCCTACGACATTCAGCTGAGGTGTTATCAGGTCACTCAATAAGAACAACAACTCAATCTTATTCCTTTGTCAAGTGCCGAGAAGTGTTAGCTAACCACTAAAATGCTGAGGCGGCCCAACCACTGCGTCGTATCCCATACGGGTACGGCTTACGCTTACAGCGTGGGGTAATGTGATGGGACGCCGCTCGCTTGCTTGGGTTGATGGAACGCCGCTCTCCAAAAGACGATACGCCGCTAGTAGGGCGCATTAAGGAACGCCGTTGGTACGTTAATCGCACTCCGCTGGTACGCAAAGCCATTTAGGTACGCCGCTGGTACGCAACGAAAGTCTGAGAACCAGCGATCGTGTGCCACACCCCTTGCTTGACCCTGATGATCAATCATGTACGCGAGCTGACGCGTCGCGAAGCTCTGGCGTACCGTGGTTCATCGAAGGATTAATTATCATATTCGATAGAACTGCGTTGAACCTGAACCTAATCGTATTACTTATGAATGTCCAGTACTGACAAGGGAAGGATCCCAAGTTGTCATGCCCTTCTGGAACGAAATGCATAATAGTAGATGTGTATTGATGAGCTGATTCCAGATCCATCCATGCTTGTTGCACTGTTCTTCGAAGAAGTTACGAGCGATTAAAAATGTGGATTGATCAAGGTTCCAAAGAATGATGACGGCACCTTCAAACGCCCATAAGTTCTTCTAAAGAACCGCACAGTATATATGTAAGTTTTTGGAACCAGCTCATCAAAACTCGGGATTCTTCCCTTGCATTCAATATGGATTTACCCTA